TTAACGTGCACATATGAGTGTAAGTGTTGTTGCTCTCTGCTGGATAGATGAAGAATTGCTCAGCTCTTTGTTACCGGCTTCATGGGTCACTAAGGATAAGGGAGAGCGGCCTGAAAGCTCAGAGTGTAGGTGTCCCTTCTAAAATTGCAGCTGGCCTCCAAGTGCTGCGTAGTTCCAGCTTTGCAAGTCTTCCAGCAGCTAATTTGTCTCACATGCATATGGGTGCAGGGAGGCCTGGAGAAGATTATTTTGTGTACGTTACCACGTGCATAGGACCAAAAGTCCTGCTGTATGCTGCTGACTTAATTGGGCATGATGTCAGATGCCTTCAGCAACTGCTGTTATGGATATGTGCTACTTAATAGTAATAACCATTATTATTATTATTTTTATTATTATTATTATCATCATAAATGAGTTTTTTTATAGTTCTATCAGAAGCAGGAGCAGTTGATGCCTTGTGAAACATCACCTTCTCTCTAAGCAGCTTTTGAGCGGCTGCCCGTGAAAATGCTGATGGACCAGAAAGCTCTGGAGATGCTTTCCCCCGCCCCATCCCAAAAAAGATGGAGACCTGGTCATTTACGACTTGAAAATATGCTTCTATTTTTTGTGAAAGGTTCTGGCCTGTGTTTTGCTGGCCCAAATCCAACATAGGTAATTACATTGTGTGTCTATAAATCCCAGCCCCCTGCAGTTTGCAGTTGGGGGTGGTACTGTTCTCCTCTTCCTGGCTCAAATTGTGGTGCGATAACGCTCCATGTCATTAAACAGCTGCCGTCTGTCACCTTCCGATGAAGTCATTCCTAGCCAAACAATGAGTTTCGAAAGCCTTTTCAGGTCCTTCTGGATAAAATTTGCTCATAAAGCAGCAATTGTGATTTTTAAGTGTGGTGAGGTGCGTGCTGATTTGTCCCTTTTCGTAGGGGTTCGAGTACTTGGAGTCCTCCAAAACGGTCTTGTCCCTTCTGTCCCTAAAAATGACCCTAAAAAATGACTCCGCAGGGCAGCTGTAAATATTTGTGGCCGTAAAACTGTGATGCCTGTGAACGCCTCTGTGGTGGGGTGGATTTAGTAGTCTGTGCTCTTGCAACCTGTTCTTTATCATGTTGTTTTAGCTCTTAGAGGGAGTTAAACACGTTCTTCAAAGGATGTACATTTTAGGCTTAGAGCACAGAACAGGAAAAAAGCAAATCTCCAACACAATGATAGAATAGCTAAAGTCGGGTGAGCGCTGGGAGAAGTATTAACCAAAACAGAACAGTCAGAGAGGGTCTGGCCAGCATTAAAAATAGATTTGAAAAATGGGTCTCGTGTAAACCCATTTGGTCTCCATAACAACTGGTTTTCAACACCTGGCGTGTTATTAATGGAAAGCAACTTGGATTAATACCGGAGAGATGAGCACTAATGAATTTAAGCACCTCTGACGTTGCTGCTGTGAAACCTGCCTCTGCTGAGCGACCCACCCGCTCCCGGAGCCTCGTGGGAATTCGGGCACGAATGGGAGCGACAGCCGAGGCGTCTGCTCCGTTTTTTCCAGTGCTCCTGCTCAAGCTGCAGTGGTATGAAAGCCATCTCTGGTTCCTCCAAGGGTGGCCCTGTCAACTCGTTGAACTGATGGCATGGTAGTTAGGTTATTAGCAGGCAAATTGGGCACAAATTGCGAGAGAGGCTGCTCTGGCAGCAACGCCGAGCAGCCAGCGCCTCAGTGGCTTCATCCCTGCCCTGGGGCTGCCCTCTCTGATGGAGACGACACCTTGTCAGCGAAGATGATGTGCTAGGTCACCCCGAGTCCGATGGGCTACATCAACCAGAGAGGGAAGGGTTGCTGCAGTGGAGGGGCAGCAAGCTAGATGATCTAATTTTTTTTTTTTTAATATTTGTCGTGGGTTGGGTGCTGACAGTAGTTGCCAAGGGATTCCACTCTCATTAGTGTCCCCTAGCCACCACCATCGCTGCGTGCTCCTGCTTTCAAGAAATAGTCATAGGCTTTCAAAAGCATTGCTTTACCTCCTCTTTGAAAGTTTCACTCTTTAGGGTTTTTTTATTTTTTATTTTTGCCTTGTTATTTCCTGGCTAGAGCAAGAGGAGAAGGAAAGAGCCTTTTCCTCAGACACCCAGGGGGCCAGCAACGATGAGCAACAGTGCGTGGCAACTAATAGGTCTTACTGTAGCGCAATACCTTCCAGCAGGTGAAGATTAAGGTTGGGAGAGGAGAAGGGAATTCATCTTTAGCAGGAATAATATATTTGCTAAGAGATCAAAATAGTTGACTGGATTTTGTGTTGACCTAAACAAGCTATGCGATAGCTAAATTGTAAGGCAGGTAGGCTCTGTAGTTCCTTAGAGTGAACTTCAAGGATCACATTAATAGAACATGTAACACTTTTTTTTTTTCTCCTTTTTATCTCTCCATCGTTTTATCCCCGGGTTCAGTGTGTGCGAGTTGGCTCTAGCTGCAGCCTGAGCTGAGTGATGCTATTAGTGTCACGGCTGTTGCGGTGACGGTGGTCACGCACCCCTTGAGTCCCACCGTGAAGCGTGGGATCCTTGCTCCGTGCCGGGCGATCGCTTCATTCGCGCTAAAGTCAAAAGAAATCGGGTTAGAAAGGAGGAAATTGGAGCTCTGCCAGCTGTGCTCGCAGAAATAGGGCCTTCTCTGAGGTCTGAACCTGCCTGTCCCCCTCCCCAAAACTTTGGCAGCTCAGAAGAACCACTGTGTGAGTGGTAGAAGAGGGTTATAAAGAAAAGCTTAAGTTATTCTTTTTTTTTTTTTTTTTTTCCAAATCTGCAGGAGTTATGGGTTCGTAGAGCTGCCAGGGGATGGTTGAAGTTACTCTGGGGAAGTTTTAATGACTTGCCCAAGTCCATGCAGGAAGCGAGTGACAAAATGTGTCTTCCTCAGCCTTGCATCACAGCATATAGAGCATTTAACCATCTTTAGCCTATAAAGCATTTAAAGAATATGAGCAATTTAATCCACTCCTGTTGTGCCAAAGGAAAGTAAGCGCTCAAGTATTTTGTTGGGTTAGGATAGCTCTTGGCCTGCGCCTGAACCCTTAGCTCAAAACAGGAACTTGATGGTAGCTGAGTAATTAACCTGAGTAAACAGTTAGATGCGTTAGGTTTTGTGGTTTCCTAAAAACTGTCTTGTTAGCAATGGAAATTGTGGTGCTCTTGATACGCCTGGTGGTGAGGTAGCTTGGGTCAAGGAAAAAGCCGAGGAAGAAACTTGTTATTCTCTATTAAATATGATCTTTGCTGTAGTTTTGGGCTAATGTAGTAATTGTGTGTGAATATGTTAAACAAGGGATCCAAGAAAAGAGATGAAGGCCATAATTTAAAAATGAACTCGTAATTCGTTTTTTAATGTTAACAAAGTTGAGAACAAAGGAAAGGAAAAGCAAAACTGATTTTTGAAGGAAAATAGTTGAATGAGTACGGGAGAAAGCCTGCAGATACCCAGCTAAGTTTCTACCTTTTCTTCCCTTTGCAGATCCAAAATAGTGTGTGAGCATTTTCTTTGCTTATTTTAAGCTATGGGTTGGAATAGATATTTTTTATTTTTGCTGCTGGTGAGGTTCTTTAATGCCCTTGGTTTTGCATAAGCATATAGGAGATTATGAAAGAAAATAGCAGAGTGGTTTTCTAGAGGTGTAAGGTCATGTAGATGCCTGCTACTCACTGGAAGTCTTGAACGTTGCTCCCATTGAGTATTATTCTTCAAGTCAGTCACTTTTCGGTTCTGGGGCTTTTTGGTTTTGTTTTGGATTTTGATTTTTTTGGAAGTGCTATGTATGGATGCAATATGCCAGGAGGAGTCCTGATGGCATGTGTCATGCGAACACCCCACCCCTTACTGATGCTTCTGCTCACCTGAAAGCCGAAAGGGAGCCTTAGTCGGGTGAACTTCTGCACCAGGCAGAGGTTGATGAGAGCCAAGCGTCTCTTCATAGACTGTCTACAGGAGGTAGCCTTGAGGCCTCAGGGCCTCTGTTTATCATTTCCTTGCATTATTTTTTCTCGGTCTCTTGTCGATGTGAGTATGGCCACAGTTCAGTACCTGAGTGGCAGCATTAGTGTGCTTGGGACCCGCAGAGATCAAAATGAAGAGCAGGTCTACCACCAGAGAGGGTATATTTGTACATGAAAAGTAAAAGAAAAGCCTTAAACAAATTTTGAACTTAAATATACATCTGGCAATCAGATAGGGTAGCGGTTTACAGGGTGTGAAAACTCTGAAACATTTAATATTCTTTGCATGGAGCAAAACTTTTTGAAGCCACATTTTCTCTTTCTGAGCAAAGTAGGCAGTTTTGCCACTGCCTTCTCCTCTTGAATTGTGCTTTTTGTGCCAGGGCGCAATAAACAATGCACTTTAAACTGGAGCTCTCCAGACTACTTTTCCTTTTTAAAGAGCGTAGGCAACTAATCGGCAGCAACCAGCCGCATAGCCGGGGTGTTTTCCATTCTAGGCAATATCGTACTAATTTGATGCACACATGGATGCTTCACACAATCTGCAAATTCATCGCTGGCATCTTGCATTAGTCATCTGACAGATTGCCAAGTGTTTCATATTCCTTTCATGTGACTTTATTACAAAACACGCGCGCACACATACCCCAGCGCTGCCTTATTTCTGCCAGTAGCCGATTTAGGGGGAATTCACTGCAGTTCTGTTTACAGCAGCTATGGAAAGAAATCTTCACTTATTTGCAACTGTTCTCTGCTTTAAGATGCAAAAGTACCGGTTTGCAGTGTGCAGCTCTGTTCTTATATAATGCCATTAAGCAGCAGCCTGCAGAGAAAACCAGACTCAATGAAAAATGTAATCGCATTGGTTTTTTTGTTCATAACACTTATGCTATTAATTAAAAAACGATTTTTTTTCCTGCTTTGTGCCCACTGACATCATCTTCTGCATCTAGTGCACATTCAAACTGTGCAGTCTCTTAACTTGCCTTTTCTTTTTCATCTCCTTTTCTACGCTCTAGTAACGGCACAGCTAACAAGATGAATGGAGCTTTGGATCATTCAGACCAACCAGACCCAGATGCCATTAAGATGTTTGTTGGACAGATTCCCCGCTCGTGGTCAGAAAAAGAGTTAAAAGAACTTTTTGAGCCTTACGGAGCTGTCTACCAGATTAACGTTCTCCGAGACAGAAGTCAGAACCCTCCCCAAAGTAAAGGTACGGTGGTTGTACTCTTGTTTGCTTTCGGGTTTTTGTTCGACGATCTTGCTAGCCTTCAGGGTTTCGAAAGAGGTTTGCATCCGGGCTGCCTGTTTTGAAGCCAACTGTGTTGAGCTATGCAGGAGCCCGAAGAGCAGAGAACTCCCGAATACCTTTCGATTACTGCCTTGCTCTTCTTTCGAAATTGCTGTTTAAATGCCTGTGATCTGGAAGTGAGCGGTCCAACTGTGCAAGAAATAACAAAAGATTGCCGTCCTTGTTTAAATCATTATTGCCAAGAGACATGGAAAGCTGAGCAGTCACTTTCCCAGGATTAGCTCATGAAAAACATAATTTTCTACTTCCTTTCGTCTCCTTGCTTTGCCCCGCAGGGGGGAAAATCAGGATACAAAAGGCGAGAAAGGATAGCGCTGGGCTCTTGCTACGTCATTGCTCCAGAGATAATCCAAAATTAAAAAATGGACTTGCCCTGCCTTTTTTCCAAAATGTGATTTCTTTTTTGTAGTCACATTAAGGATTGTTTTTTGACACTGATATTTTTCTAAAAGAGAGGGTTCTTCCCCGCCCCCCCCGCCCCTGCATTTTTCAAGTACATGTAAAGTGTACTATATTGCTTTGTCTAACTATATATCTATGTGCATATTTAGGTACGTTAGAATTTTATGCATTATAGCATGCAAGTATAATGTGTGCTTATATGTAGATTTAAAGTGAATATTTTGTTCCATAAAATGCTCTTTTTTTTTTCCTGAAATAGCTGTATATTTTCATTTACACTTTCAGATCTTCAGGATTTGTATATTAAATTGTTGCTAGTGTTACAAATAATGAGTGTAGCTCTGAGGCACACCTAGATGTGCATGAATGCCTGGTTGTAAGGTTACTAGATATTTATTCATTCTGCGTCCACTCCTACCACTGCTTCTAAAACCCTTTAAAGCGCACGCTATGGTGAAGAGCATAAAAAGATTTTGTGGACCAGCAGCCGACTAATAGTGCAAAACAGCACTTTCCTGAGAAATCCAGTTCCCTGCAAGATGATTTTATCCTTGAGTCACACTGCACAACTTCGGGTGCTCCTCTGTTTTTGTGCAAAATGCTGCCAGCACTCAGAATTTCGTCCCCTAGCTGGTGTCAAGGATCCTCTCAGTGGCCTCTTCTTTGTTGCCCCAATTTTGAGCAATTTTTTTTCCCGTAGTTTTACTTCTTTTTGGTTTACCTACCTAGATTATTTCATGTTAAAAAGAATGGCTCTTTTACTTGGTATCCAGCAATATCTGGGAAGGGGTTTATATCACCGTCCTCCCCCACTGAATTGTAATTAGACTGCTAGACTGCTGTCTTCCATTGGTACTTAGGAAACCAAAGGTGTTTTTTTTCTTGCAGTTTTTCAGGTCTTATTCCAACTCCCTACGTTCCCTAGAAAAGATGATGTATCTTAGCATGTAGACCCCTACTACCATGCCCTTGCCATGTCACTTTTCAAGCTGGAGAGAAGACAGTATTAAGAGGTCAGGCAATGGGATTTTCTACAGTCCCGGCTGCTATGGATGAGCAAACACCTACTTACTTTAAACGACCAAAATGCTGAACTTTGAGGCTCGTCCATTTAGGAAGAGCTGATTCCTGGGCCGCAGAAATGCTTTCCCACTAAGCAGTAAATGAAGTGAGAATGATATTGTGGTTAGACAGAAGAAATTCATTGATTCTCGTTTCTGTAGTGTTTTCCACTACAGTGTACCTGTCTGCCAGGCAGCTTAAAGGCAGGAGGATTAAGCACAGGTCATGCAAATCATCGTAGACTAATTATGAAGGCTTGTAGTCCCCGTATTCAATATTCTTTTTGAATGCTGTTTTTTTTTCTTTTTTTGCTTGGGTTTTTTTCAGCCATTCAGAGATGATGCTTTGATGTCACTCCAGTCTTTATATGTTCTAATGAGTAAACGAAATTAATCCTTAAGAGAGCCAGAGCAACCTTCAGATTTATATTTCCCTGACACAGCAGCAAGCTCCTCTCTTGGTCAGCTTTTCCCTTGGATACCTCGGAGGAGCATATCTTCATGCTTGCTCTCCCCTTCCTTCTGGCCCAGTCTGCCAGCGAGGTTGCCCACATATAGAAACCTCTGGAGTTTCTTGTGGCTCTCTCCTGACAAGGAGCGAGCTTTACTTTCTTAATCCAGTAGCACAAAGGAATCTGAGTGAGAGTTTTTTAAGAGCCTGCTATAAACAAATAAGCAAAAAAAAAAAAAAATTGCCCTGATGAATGTCTGATGGTCTTGTTGTCATCACGGATGCATGAGAAATACTTTGTGCTCTCTAAAGGGGATTTATTAACAAAGCTATGGGATTTATTAGCAAAGCTGAGCTTTGACTCTTGGTTAGGAGGTGTGGTCTAATGCTGTGCTCTTCTTATGAACTCTCCTTATATACACCCTTATGAAGAAACCAGCCGCTTTCTTTCCTTTGGGCTAGGTAGAGCGGAGTGATTGCAGGCAGTTTGCTGTCTCTCAGCATCTCCCAGGCTTTTGTGCAACAGTGCGTCTAGTATGGGTAGTCTGTAGTAGGCTGACGGTGGGAAAGGTCCGTTCTTTCTTCGTTGCGTGACCGTGGCTGTGGTCATGTATGTAGCAAAGTCACCGGCTGCTATCAGCCGGAAATTTTTCTGAGAATTTCGCAAGCCCTGAATTGCAATGATGAATGTGCAGTGTGCAACTTAGTGTTACTGCCCAAGTGTGTGTGTGCGTGAGGGGGTTAGTTTTATATTTTTGAAGATGAGCGTTTTGATTTGCGAAAGATTTCTCTCTCGTTAGGAAGGGCTGTGTATTTCTGTTAGCTTGGCCAGGGGCTGCTCCAGTTTGGACAGAATTTTTCTCTGACGAGCTGCTTATGAAGCTCCAATCTGAGTCTTGCGTGATGCTGTCAAAAATAACCATAAGCTGGCTCTCTCGCTCTTCTGCTGCCGTTAAGACTGCTTTTCATACCCGCCAACCACAAACAGCCTAGTTCAGTTGTCTCCTACTTTTTTGCATTACTTGCTAGCTCTGCAGAGCTGAAGTTGGAGGAAGAGGAGGCAGACAGGCAGATGCAAAGCCAAGTCTCATTCACTTTGGAAAAACACCTGTTTCCTCCTTTAAAGTCCACTGTAGCGCTCTCATTATCTGCAGTGAAGAACCGTTTCTATAGGGCTCCCACAGAAGTGCCGTTGCCAGTGTGAATGTCGAGTACAGTGCGTGTAAATCCTGTCCTCTCCTGCTGTATGCACTCAGTTGCTGTGCAGCTTTGTTAATTGGGTTTTCTACCCCAGAAAAGGCTGCGTTTCAATTGAGTGATGGCTAGGCTATTCTCTGTAAGTAGAAATATCACTGTGCTTTCAAGGATACGCAGTTCCTAAGGTTTTTTCAGATGTGTGAAGGAGCTCAGCAAAGTCATTTGGCTTTCGATATCTGTCCCCTGTTGTTTTATAAGACCTTTCCCTCTTTCTGCAACAATAGAAATCCGGGGGATTAAGTAAACTAAATAAAAAAAAAATCACAGTAAATCCCGTAACACTGAAATAAATGGTGCTTTCAACTTCTGGGGGCTAAAGGAATTCAAAATCTAGGTGGATCAGACATCTCTGCTCCCAGTTTGATTTGTTCCCTTTGTGTAATTTACATTACATTGGAGAGAACATTATGGCTGGCAGATGATACACAGAAACCATAATTTTGGTGGAATGCTATGCTATGCTTACATTCTTGCAGTTGTTGTTAGTGAGAGCTTCTGCAACACCCCATATACCCGGAGCTCCGTGCGAAGGCAGTGTAAAGCACCACCACGATTTCTCGTCTTCCCCATTGCTCTTTTAAACTGGAAAGATTTCCTTGGCTCTTTTTTGTTGTTGAGTTTGAGAGCTGAAGCAAACAGCACAGGGCTACGCAGCCCCTCGGACATGTAGGACCATCTTGGGCCGAACCCACAAGGTCCTTTTGATCCCTGGCCCCATTTTAGATCCCTGTTAATTCCAGCAGGGACTGAAGTCCCCTAAAATAGGCCTGTGAGTCTAGGTCCGCTTTGCTGCCGCAGGAGTCTCCGTTTGGGAAAGAAGGGAAAAGGCACCCTTGTGGCGGCAAATCCCATGCTTCCTCGCAGCCTTTTACGGACCCGTTATCAGATTAGAGGGAGGCTGCTGAGCGAACGAGGATGTGCTGTAGTGAAAGGCCAGTGTTTATTATTATCCTATTTTACGTGGTAGTTTATGTCTACCGGGAAGCAAGCAGAGGAACGTGATAACGAGACACACATCTGCTCCCTCTAGGAGAGGTGGGCAAGACGCGGAGCAGGTAGAAGTTATCCAGGAGGTTTTTTGGGTTCAGTTTTGGCTGTAGTTTCAGCGATACCCTTGTGCAAGGTGGGAGGGCTGGTGGGGGCCAGCGGGCATCCACAGTTGGTGCTGTGGAGCGGGGAAGGGGAACCCAGGCAGCCCTGAGCGCCAGACTGCGGCGGCACGGCGCGTGGCACACACCCAACCCGACCATCGCGATCCACAGCAAAGCCATTAACCGGCCGCCCCAGGCCCGCCGTTGCGTCACTACTCAGGAGGTTGCACTCTGCTCTCCTGGAAGTGATTAAAATCATTTGCATTTTGCAAGTACCGAAATATTTAGGGGCTCTTTGAAAGCCAGCACACTGGCAGCCTGGGTGCCTCCACACGGTCTCCAACCACCGAGGCCGTGTTTCGAGTCCTCCCACACTTCCACGTACATGTTTTTCAGCTTTTGAGATCTAATGAGTGGTGTCACAACCACATGTGCTGTGTCTAACCTGCAGGACTTGGGACCACGGCCGTTGTGCGTGCTTGAGACTGAATTTAAGTAATTACCGCTGAGGTTTTTCTGTTGCAGTGTCAGGCTTGAAATCTCTCATGCACAGAGTGCAAGAGTGCCCTGCATATTTTTTTTAAACTAGCTCCTACTATATAGAGTATCAGATGACAAAGTGGCAAAACCCAGATGTTA